CACCGGGGATGTTCCAGTTTTTTTTTTTTTATTTTTGGTCACCCTACACAGAGCTGATTTGAAAGCCTAATGGAAAAATGTCTGGAAACATTTACCTCCAGGGGCAAAAACTGAGCTCTATTAATTAAGCACATTTAGGAACCACCTGGACCTAAATGTAGATAAAACCAAAGAAACTGTTTACAGCCCAGTAGTCATCTTTATCCATGGAGAAGTAGTAGAAATGGTGGACTCTTGTAAGTACTCGGGAACTGTGTTTGATTCCTCCCTAAGGTTTGATAAGAACACTGAGCACATGATCAAACGAGGACAGCGGCAGGTTCACTTGATGAAGTTCAGCTCTTTTAATGTGTCGTCTAACATTTTAAATCATTTTTATCAGTCCTTTATCGAAAATTTGCTGACTTTTTCTTTTATTTATTGGTTTTACAGGTTCTGTGTGAAGGACAGGAGCCGTCTGGACCAGAGAGTCAAAGTGTTCAGTGGAGGATTTGGAGACATCGTGTGCTCCATGCAGTGTTGGGGAGTAACAGATTACATGTACCAGAGTTATGTAATCAGAGTACAAATTATGAGTAACTGTATTCAGTTAGTTACTGTTTCAATGAGTGGTAATTAGATTACAGTTACTTTGTTGAAATAAATGGATTACATGACGGTATTTTCTGTTTTCACATTTCAGGCTATATCCCTTTTTTTTTTTCCCCCACGGTATTCCACACATTGCTGGACACTGAACCAGGTCCAAATCAGGTCTAAATCAGGTCTAAACTAGGTCTAAAACCAGGTCTAAACCAGGTCTAAACTAGGTCTAAACCAGGTCTAAAACCAGGTCTAAACCAGGTCTAAACCAGGTCTAAACTAGGTCTAAAACCAGGTCTAAACCAGGACTAAACTAGGTCTAAAACCAGGTCTAAACAAGGTCTAAACCAGGTCTAAACCAGGTCTAAACCAGGTCTAAAACCAGGTCTAAACCAGGTCTAAACTAGGTCTAAAACCAGGTCTAAACCAGGTCTAAACTAGGTCTAAAACCAGGTCTAAACCAGGACTAAACTAGGTCTAAAACCAGGTCTAAACAAGGTCTAAACCAGGTCTAAACTAGGTCTAAAACCAGGTCTAAACCAGGACTAAACCAGGACTAAAACCAGGTCTAAACTGGGACTATAACCAGGACTAAACCAGGATTTAACAGAACTAAATCCTGCTGTATGAACCGTGTCTCCTCGTCTTCTATCAATAATATTTTTAATTTGGATCAGTAAAGTCTGTTTTTTTATTTTCTTTAATCAGACAAAACATCTTATGTGAAGATTTCCTCGTCTTTGTTTCTCTACAGCAAATCAAGTAATCCAAAGTATTCAGATTACGTTACACTGGCTTCCATGTCCTGCGTTCACAGTTTGTACAAATGTCCCCTGGGAGGTGATACGTCGCCCCACAGCAAAATACCAATTACTTCGCTAAATCTTTTATTCCTTCTGCCATAAGGTTTTTAAATGGACAGTAAATTTCTGATGCACTGAGGTTTGAATGTATGGCGTGTGTTGGATGTATTTTTTTTTTCTTTTATTATTTATAGATTGTGCAATTTATAGATTGGGATTAAATAAACTTCACTAAATTCAGTAAAAAAAAACTACAGTATTTGCACAATGGCACATATCGTGAGAGCTTCATTAGTCCAGCCCTGAGTCCTCCTCATGTCCGTGTCTTGTGGTCGTCTCCTGAAGCGTCAGGTGTTCCTCTGCCCCACAGCTGTCAGAAAACCCACAGTCTGTCGCGGTCAGTGAACGCACCGCGGTTTTATGTGCTCCACTGAACCCAGGACCAGCTCTGGACCTGGTCTTGGATCAGGTCTGGACCTCTGGGGTTTGGGGTCAGTGAGCTGTGGCCACAGGGAAACGAGCCCCTCCCCCTTCACCTGCGCCAGTAACACACCTGTCGCAGAGGTGGGTTCTATACGGCCGCTCTGTGTGAAGCTACTGTTTCATTTTTATTTATTTATTTTGAGGGTTCCCACTTTTCCATGACTTTTTCAAGAACTAAAGTGAATTTTCCATGACTTTTTCAAGAACTAAAGTGAATTTTCCATGACTTTTTCAAGAACTAAAGTGCATTTTCCATGAGTTTGCAGCACCTACATGTGTAGAATTGATCAGACTTTTAGAGCTAAATGTGAATTGTTAAGCCTTTCTACTCGCATTATAGTTTGGGATTATAGTTTTTGAACATTCAAAATCCTGTTAGTGAATTTATTGACGTCTCTTTTAAACAAAAGGCTCAAACGTTCAGAATTCCTGTGTCATTCGTTCATTCGTTTTTCAATATAAAACCAAAAATAAGAAAACGAAACAACTATTTTCTTCATTATTTGTCTCCAAAATCAAAATGAAAAAACAGATAAGGATTCTTTTTTTCAGTTTTCAGGTTTTAATGAATAATTTGGGTTTTGGTTTTTAATGAATAAATGAATAATGGAAAAAACGGATAACAACCATTTCCCGTTTTGCTCCACATACGGACTGAACCAGGACTGAACCAGTACTAAACCAGGAATAAACCATTTTCAGTACTGGTCTGGTCCCGGTCTGGTCCCGGTGTCAGTCCCGGTCTGGTTCTGGTCTGGTCCCGGACCTGGTTTAGTCCTGGTTTAGTCCGTATGCGGCGCAAAATTCCGGCATCACAGTTTAAGTCACGTGAACAGGAAACGGTCGTTATCCGTTTTTTCCATTTTTCATTTAAACAAAAAATTTGAAAAAATCTGAAAAATCGAATCATTATACATCTTTTCATTTTGGTTTTGGAGACAGAAAATAGTTGTTTTTTTCTTTTTTCTTCTTTTTGGTTTTATTTTGAAAAACGAATGAACAAATGACAGATTGTTCAGAAATAATCATAATAGCCTCATGAGAACTTGACACAACTCTGGAGCTGCGTGAAAGAGAGACTAAAATTCCATGACTTTTCCAAAACTTTCATGGAAATTACAAAATTCCATGACTTTCCCAGGCTTGGAAAATGACATTTTCAATTTCCATGACTTTTCCAGGATTTCCATGACTGTGGGAACCCTGCAAGCAGCAACTATTCATATATCCAATACTCAGTACATTTCACATATTTTTCGTCTTTAAGTTTAAAAATGAGTGCGAAGAAAACTTTTAAAATCAAACCCCTGAATAATTTTTTACCCCAATTGTCTAAGAATAATCTGAACAAAAAATTGGTAAAACTAATTATACTTTACACCCAGAGTATTGTCTTAAACATATAGAAGTAACTATATTTTATCTTTTTTATTTTTAACTTTTATTTTATAAGTGTGAGTTCTGTGTTCCTCTGTGTCTTTTATTTATTTTATTTAATTTTAATGTATTTTATTGGTTTTATTTATTTATTAATTTATTGCTATTCTATGATTTTGCTCTTATTTTATTATTTTACTGGTTTTATTATTTTAAGACTAGTGAGATTAAATCTGAGCGTTTATTTTATCACTTTATTATTGTTGTTATTTTTATGTATTTGTGCAGCACTTTGGAAAATATTTGTTTGTGAACAGTGTTGGGAAGGTGACTTTTAAAATGTAATCCCCTACAGATTACAGATTACATACACCAAAATGTAGTTTGTAACAGAATCCATTAAATTACTTAAAGTGAGTAACGTAATCTGATTACTTTGGATTACTTGATTTGCCGTATTAAAAATATTATTGATAGAAGAGGAGGAGACACGTCCACGCAGCATGGTTTAGTCCTGTTAAATCCTGTTTTAGTCCTGGTTTAGTCCTGTTAAATCCTGGTTTAGTCCTGTTAAATCCTGTTTTAGTCCTGGTTTAGTCCTGTTAAATCCTGTTTTAGTCCTGGTTTAGACCTGTTATAGACCTGGTTTTAGATCTAGTTTAGACCTGGTTTTAGTCCTGGTTTAGTCCTGGTTTAGACCTGTTTTAGTCCTGTTTTAGTCCTGGTTTAGACCTGGTTTTAGACCTGGTTTAGACCTGGTTTTACACCTGTTTTAGTCCTGTTAAATCCTGTTTTAGTCCTGGTTTAGACCTGGTTTAGACCTGTTTTAGACCTGGTTTTAGATCTGGTTTAGACCTGGTTTTAGACCTGGTTTAGACCTGGTTTAGACCTGTTTTAGACCTGGTTTTAGATCTAGTTTAGACCTGGTTTAGACCTGGTTTAGACCTGGTTTAGACCTGGTTTTAGATCTGGTTTAGACCTGGTTTAGACCTGTTTTAGACCTGGTTTTAGATCTAATTAGACCTAGTTTAGATCTAGTTTAGACCTGGTTTAGATCTAGATTAGACCTGGTTTAGATCTAGTTTAGACCTGGTTTAGATCTAGTTTAGATCTAGTTTTAGACCTGGTTTAGATCTAGGTTTAGATCTAGTTTTAGATCTGGTTTAGACCTGGTTTTACACCTGTTTTAGTCCTGTTTTAGTCCTGATTTTAGACCTGGTTTTAGACCTGGTTTTTAGACCTGGTTTAGCTCTAGTTTAGACTTGGTTCCGGCAATGATTGGAATCACCGAAAAAACAAACAAACAAACAAAAACAAAAAAAAAGAAAAAACAAAAGGGGATATAGCCCAAGATGTGAAAAAAGGAAAACAGGAAAATACCGCCGTGTAATCCATTTATTTCAACAAAGTAACTGTAATCCAATTACCACTCACTGAAACAGTAACTGTAACTGAATACAGTTACTCATAATTTGTACTCTGATTACTTAACTCCGGTACATGTAATCTGTTACTCCCCAACACTGTCTGTGAAATGTGCAAGAGAAATAATTGGATAATAATTGGATTGGATTATCTGTATTGAATAAAATGATTAAATTATGGATTATTTGTGCCACTACAGTCTCAGTTTACACTCATGGAACTGAACAGGAGAGAACACTTTCCAGTTAGATCCTTTAGGGGGCGCTAGAGATCTCTATGTTTATTCCTAGTGGTCATTTGAGGTATTACATTTAAATCGCTCGGACTTACGTGACCGTCTTCTGGAGTTGGTGTTCAGAGCTTCTTTAAACTGTCGCCTCAAAACCGTAGAGTTCGTCCCGCCCTCCTCCTCCTCCTCGAAGCCGCCCGATTGGTCCCAGGAGTCGTGATGCAGCGTCTGATTGGCGTTCTCCGTCTCGCTTTGGCGCCACTTCGATAAAACGTCTCGTGTTGCGTTTTGGCCGCGTGTGCCGTGCAGTGACTGGTTTGTAAAATGGCTTGAATCTGTTAAATTTCCAAGTGATTTTTGATTGGCTGATATCACCGTTCTGCCTAGCAACACCTCAGCACTGTCGTCTGATTGGCTGGTTTGAGTCGTGGTACTTTCTGATTGTTTTTTTGAATGTTTGGTAGTTTCCGCCGCAGTCTGATCTGGCAGTTTCGTGGTTTTAGTTTCCGTCGGTCTTGTCGTCGTCCGTTTCGATTGGCTGACGGTGTTTGCGGAGAGTTTTGATTGGCTCGTCGCGGTCGTACGGCTCGCGGAACGACTAAAATCCTCGGCCGTGCTTTGAGTTTTCGCACTGGTCGTGAAATGAAAATCTTTCGACGATGTAGCTGAGTTTGTCGAGCTTGTACGATGCATTTCTGGGAATATCGTCGAAGTGGAAGTTACAGAACTAGTTGTTGTAGTTGTACTTTGTTCATGAGCGGTTGAAGGTACAATTCCCGGCGATGTTACAGCTGATTGCGTAGATTTGCTTGTAGACTCGCTTTCCTGCGCTGATATCGTCGGTAACTTGGCGTTGGGTTCTGTTCTCGCCTCTGATTGGCCGATCGTGTTGGGTTTTGCGCTCGTTTTCGCACCGTTGGACGTCGTTTGTCGCACAGAAGGATGTTTCGAGGTGTTTAAGTCCACAGAAGGTGTAGTTTGACTTCTTGACTCAGATCGAAGCGTCGTTAGGATCGTATATCGTTTGGCTGAAGCCGGTTGTGGTTTGTAAAGTCCTGTGTGCGTCCTGGGCGGATTTTGCGGCGCTCTCTGAAGTGAACGTGGCCGTGTTCAGATCTGTATGAGACGTTCTGTTGGTTGTTTCCACAGGAGGGACCTTAGAGAGAAAAAAAGAGAGAATTTACTAGAAAAATCCAGACATAATAATATTCCAGGAATTTGTGTGGTTAGAAAAGACACAGGCCTTTGAAGTAAATGCATCTTTTGTGTTCCTGATGAGTTTCAAAACTGATAATATATATATATTTTTTAATATTGTATTTTCATTTTTTTTTTATGTGCATTCATAAACGATTTTTATCATTTCCAACTTCATGCAGTCGACTTTTTTGAACTTCAATAGGACACCAGGACTAAACCAAGTCTAAACCACGACTAAATCAGGACTAAACCAGGACTAAACCAGGACTACACTTGGACTAAACCAAGTCTAAACCACGACTAAATCAGGACTAAACCAGGACTACACTTGGACTAAACCAGGTCTAAAGCAGGTCTAAACCAAGACTAAACCAGATCTAAACCAAGTCTAAACCAGGACTAAATCAGGACTAAACCAGGACTACACTTGGACTAAACCAGGTCTAAAGCAGGTCTAAACCAGGACTAAACCAGATCTAAACCAAGTCTAAACCAGGACTAAATCAGATCTAAACCAGGACTAAACCAGATCTAAACCAAGTCTAAACCAGGACTAAAACAGGTCAAAAGTAGGTCTAAAACAGGACTGAACCAGGACGACACCAGGATTAAACCAGGACTAAACCAGGACTATACAAGGACTACACCAAGAATAAACTAGGACTAAACCAGGACTAAGACGAGTATATACTAGGACTAAACCAGGTCTAAACCAGGTCTAAACCAGGACTAAACCAAGTCTAAACCAGGACTAAATCAGGTCTAAACCAGGTCTAAACCAGGTCTAAACCAGGACTAAACCAAGTCTAAACCAGGACTAAATCAGGTCTAAACCAGGACTAAACTAGGACTAAACCAGGAATAATCTCAACACTCAGTCCTGGTTCAGTCCTGGTTTAATCCTGGTTCAGTCCTAGTTCAGTTCTGGTTCAGTCCTGCTTTAGTCCTGATTCAGTCCTGGTTTAGTCCTGAATCAGTCCTGGTTTAGTCCTGATTCAGTCCTGGTTTAGTCCTGAATCAGTCCTGGTTTAGTCCTGATTCAGTCCTGGTTTAGTCCTGGTTCAGTCCTTTGAATATATTTTATCAAGTGCAGTCAAAATATGTAAAAAAGTGCAAATATATTAATAATTGTCTTTAAGTATTGTTTGTATTAACGTAAAAGATGGATATGGTTTATTTTAGCGGAAAATCAAATCAGAATCCATACTTCTTCTGACCAATCATAATCCAAACCCTCGCAGACCAAATTAGACCTCACTTTAGATCAAAACTTCCAGTCTCCTTAAACTGAATCTAAAATAAGTCTGATTAGATCCTGAGCCGGTTCCCAGATGGTTGTGGGCGTGACTCCGGTGTGAATGTGAATTTTGGCTCGTTCGTGCGACTCTCAGGATTACGGCGCTGACAGATTAAAGTCCAGGTCTCAGGACTCGCAAAGATCCGGTTTCACGGTTTCAAAGACCGGACCAAAACTGAGAGGATCCACTCAACACCCAATATTTACTGTCAGCACCTGCGGCGGGGCTCCTGCGGCTCGGGCAGAAACACGAGAGGAAAACACATTCGCAGAGAAAATGTTAAATATAGGACTGAACCGAGTTTAGACGGTCACATAATAAGGATCAGGTGTGTTCTTATATTTGCAGACCACACTTCTCTGTGATTGGTTAAATCTGCCTGTCAATCACATAGAGCAGGACAAAGGCTGAGCTGTACGAGGAGTGAGTGGGCGGGTTTGTACGAGCAAAAAGTGCATTAACACAAGGGTGACCAGAATTTCAAAATAAAAAACTTGGACATAGTTTTTTTTTTGGTTGTTGTTAATAATAAAATTGTGAAACAAGTGTGTAATTACTAATAAATAATAATAATGTGTCAGTTTTATACAGCGCTTTTTTGGACACAAAGGCGCATCACAGAGTATTATTCATTCACTCCAGACCCAGTGTTATAACCCAGTGTTAGGGACGAAGGAAAGTAACACAAACCAGATATGATGTAAAATAAATGGGTTTTATAAAGTGATGTAGGTAAGTACAATAACTAGGGGTGTCAAATGATCGCGTTAATTGCGATTAATTAATTACAGTCATATTTAGCGCGTTATGTTTTTTAATCGCGTTAATCTCATTTTTAATCTCTAATTTTACTGTTTCTGTATGCGAGTTTCTTTATTATAAAACCTGTTTTTATGTGTTGTTGAGACAACAACACACACACACAAAAAACACATTTATACATTTTTTTTATTTCGGTAATTCCACTCATTGTCGGAAACCCACACAAAACACGCGCAATAAGAGCGATGTTTACGGCGTCAGTCGCACAATGGACGAGGTGGAAGAGCCAGTAGAACAGAGCAGCAGTGCACAGGTAAAAACACATTCGTGTTTTGGAAATTATTCTCCCGACGTGAAATATAAAAGAAAATAACAAATATAAAATCACCTACAACTTAAATGTCACTGGTGAAAACAACCTGCATAGACTCATGATGTCTGCACTACTGTCCTATACACACACACACACACAACACACAACACACAACACACAAAACACACACACACACACAACACACAACACAAACACACAAACACAACACACACACACACACACAAACACACACAAACACACACACACACACACACACACACAAACACACACACACACAAACACAAACACACACAAAACACACAAACACAAACACACACAACACAACACACACAACACACACACACACACACAAACACACACAACACACACAAACACAACACAACACACACAAACACAAACACAACACAACACACACACACACACAAACACACACACACACACACACAAACACACACACACACAAACACACACACAAACACACACAACACACACAACACACACAAACACACACAAACACAACACACAAACACACACACACACACACACACACACAAACACACAAACAACACACACAAACACACACACACAAACACACACACAACACAAACAAACACAACAAACACACACACAAACACAAAACACAACACACACCTTCATCATCGTCATTACCCTGAGAACACGCGGACCACGTTTCCTTCCGTAGTTACTGCGTGGACACAGACCTGCTCCCGTGAGCCGCGTGTGGATCGTGTTTTCTCGCGTACGCGGCGTAAACCGAGCTTCCTCCTGTGAACCTCTAAACCAGAACTAACACCAAGACTAAAACCAGGACTAATCCAGTCCAGAACTAAAACCAGAACTAAAACCAGGTCTAAACCAGGACTAAACCAGGACTAAACCAGGTCTAAACTAGGACTAAACCAGGACTAAACCAGAACTAACACCAGGACTAAAACCAGGACTAACCCTTTCCAGGACTAAACTAGGACTAAAGTAGGACTAAAGCAGGTCTAAAGCAGGTCTAAACCAGGTCTAAACCAGGACTAAAACCAGTGATCTCATATATAAAGCATTTCTCTATCAATAATATTTTTAATATGGTTAAGGAAAGACTGGACTTTTTATTGTCTTTAAGTCGACAAAAGTTATTATGTTCAGATTTCCTCGTCTTTGCTACTTTACAGCAAACAGTTTCTTATTCATGGAGACTTGGGCTCAACAGCCAATTTGGAGAGATTTGTTAAACAATAAATGACTTTATAAAGTCACTTTTTTTAATCTATATCAGTCTTTTGATCTGCCACAATAATGTAATAATGAATTTAAATGAAAATACCTCAAATTGAAGCTTTTCTCAGCAATTTTTAGGTGAGATTAAAATTAGATTAATTAGATTAATTAATTACAGATCATAATTAATTAATCTATACATTTTTTTAATCGCATGACAGCACTAACAATAACAAAGTAAAACGTTTTACATTTGATAAATCAGAATTCCCCAAAGTTAACTAAACCACTCCTAAACTAAGGAAGCTAATAGCAACAAAAAACAACTGCCCAAGGGCCGAGCCAAACTGGCAAAACTAAAAATTATAGTAATATAAACACACTTTATGATATCAAAAGAGAGACCACTAGTGAACGTCTACAGATGTGAGGGGCGAACTGAAACTGCCGTCCAGCCGCCCGGAGGGACACGCGCACTGCACTTTTAT